AGTCTGATGTCAGTCTGTCAATCTGATGTCACTCTGTCAGTCTGATGTCAGTCTGATGTCATTCTGTCAGTCTGATGTCAGTCTGTCAGTCTGATGTCATTTTGCCAGTCCGATGTCAGTGTGATGTCAGTCTGTCAGTGTGATGTCAGTGTGATGTCAGTGTGATGTCAGTCTGCTGTCAGTCTGCTGTCAGTCTGATGTCAGTCTGTCAGTGATGTCATTCTGTCAGTCTGATATCGGTCTGCTGTCAGTCTGATATTGGTCTGATGTCATTCTGTCAGTCTCATGTCAGTCTCATGTCAGTCTGATGTCAGTCTGTCAGTCTGATGTCATTCTGTCAGTCTGATGTCAGTCTGTCAGTCTGATGTCATTCTGTCAGTCTGATGTCAGTCTGATAGTCTGATGTCAGTCTGTCAATCTGATGTCACTCTGTCAGTCTGATGTCAGTCTGTCAATCTGATGTCACTCTGTCAGTCTGATGTCAGTCTGATGTCATTCTGTCAGTCTGATGTCAGTCTGTCAGTCTGATGTCATTTTGCCAGTCCGATGTCAGTGTGATGTCAGTCTGTCAGTGTGATGTCAGTGTGATGTCAGTGTGATGTCAGTCTGCTGTCAGTCTGCTGTCAGTCTGATGTCAGTCTGATGTCAGTCTGATGTCAGTCCGTCAGTCTGATGTCAGTCTGATGTCAGATGTGATATCGGTGTGTCTCAGTCTCACAGTGATCTCTCAAAAAGAAACACAATGCCAAAGATCAGGTGACGACTGTTTAATTAGTTAATCAGGTCCAGCTTGATCTGAGAAACCCACACTCGATCAGGTCTCGCTGGTTGTGATGGACCCAGACTGGATCAGGTCCACCTGGTTCCTAGGGACTAAGAAACCCACACTCGATCAGGTCCAGCTGGTTCTGGTGGACCCAGACTGGACCAGGCCCAGTTAGTTCTGATAGACCCAGACTGGGGAAGATCCACCTGGTTCCTAGGGACCCAGACTGAATCAGGTCTTGTTGGATCTAAGGGACCCAGACTGGATCAGAACCAACTGGTTCTGATGGTCCTAGACTGGATCAGGTCCAGCTGGTTCTGATGGACCTAGACTGGATCAGATCCAGCTGGTCCTAAAGGGCCCAGATTGGATCAGGTCCAGCTGGTTCTAAGGGACCCAGACTGGATCAGATCCACCTGCTTCTGATGGGCCCAGACTGGATCAGGTCCAGCTGTAGCTCTGCAGGTCTGTATGTTGATGGGCGGAGCTTCCTGTCAGGTCAGGTGGTCAGTAGAACGGTGTGGTCCCACCCCAGTCGATGACGGCTCCATCCCACTTGGTCCAGAGGGTCATCTCCAGCGAGGGGAACCTCCTCTCAGGGTCCAGGTCTGAGGGTCTGCAGGACGCCTCCCAGTGGTGAGAGTGAGTATCTGCACACAGAGTCTGGATCAGACATGAGACCAGAACAGGTGGACACCCTGTCTCAGTCAGACCCAGGTCCTCACCTACAGTCAGTCTGGCCATGGTCCTCTGGGATGTCTGTCCGTTGTAGTAGAACAGGTGGAACAGGTGCTCCGTCCTCCAATCAGAGAGCAGCGAGCGGTCCAGACTGAAGACCACCGAGAAGCTGCTGTTGATACAGCAGAGCCACACCGGGTACCGGGGTGTCTTAAGCATGCTGCCCACCTGAGAACAGAGGACACAGGGTCACAGGGACATACTGAGGACAGAGGACACCGGGTCACAGGGACATACTGAGGACAGGGTTGTCTCGTCGCCTCGTCTGATTGTGATTGGTTAAAGACTTGTCTCGTCTTGTATTTTCTCTTCGTCTCATCTCGTGTGAATGTGATTGGTTGAAGATTCGTCTCGTCTTATCTGAGTCTGATTGGTTAAAAACTTGTTTCTTCTCGTTGCGTCTATTCTCTTCTCGTCTCCTCTGAATGTGATTGGTTAAAGAGTCGTCTCTTCTTGTCTCGTCTTGTCTTGTCTCGTCTCGTTTGAATGTGATTCAGATGAGTCCACCTCAACAGGAGCATGACAACTCTGTCCTTGTAGTATCTGCAGTACTAATACCAGCAGTTACCATCAGTACCACAGAACCAGGAGAACCCAGTAGAGTGAAGGTACCTGCAATAGTCTGCCTGTCTCCATCTGCTCTCGGCTCCAGTGTAAATATCCCACATCACTGCGGGACAGGACACCCTGCAGGGGATGCTCCAGAGGACGTCCGTCCTCCCCGAAGTATAGAGTCCCATTAAAGACGTGGGGACTGGCCTTACCTGTCAGCAACAGGTTCAGCAGAGCCTGCAGACACAGACCAGGGAAAACGACCTGTGAGAACCTCAGATACTGCAGGAGAGAACTAAGACAGAACCAAGAAACGACCAAGAGAGAACAAAGTGAGAACCAGGACCAACGCAATCGGCAGAATAAATGTTGGCATGGTACGTTTCTATGAGTCATGTTACGATGTTCTTTATGTTTAATGTTCTTTATGTTTAATGTTCATTATGTTTAAAGTTCATTATGTTTTATGTTCTCAGCAGTGTTGCTGTTGACGTGTGCTTAAATTTAGACACCAGAACTTCCTGGTTCGGTCATGAAGAGATCCTGTTTGGTTTAAAGTTTCTGGTTCTCAATATAAAACAAACACTGTCCTTACAGTCAAACAGTGAATGGTCCATGTGTTTTTGTTGGGGTTGAACAGTCATCTCCAGGTGTGACATCATTTCCTCCACCTGCTGCTGATGTCAGAGCAGATACTACATCACCATAGAAAAGATGATGTAATATGTTTGAAGCATAAATGTCTTCATGGTTTGTAGAAACGTACAATGCCAACATTGTCCTCTGAGGACAGAGACAGTAGGAGCAGGTGTGTGTCCTCACCTGATGGCAGACAAAGTTTCCCAGACTGAGGTGCAGCAGGTGTGAGGGGGCGGAGTCCAGGTCCTTCTTCAGCCTGTGAGGAAGAAGAGAACGGATGAAGACTCAGAAACCTCTGCAGGTGTAGTTTCATACTGAGTCTGTCCTGACAGTGTTTTCAGGCTGTGTTAGCACAGCAGCCTGCAGGGGGCGCTAACAATAGGATAGTAGGACATGTTCCTGGACCAATGCTGCAATCAGCCATTCACAGCCCTCTGACATCATCAGTGTGCTGCTGCTGTGCTTCTTTAAAATTTCATTTCTGCTTCTTCAGAGCTGAGCTTGTTTTACAAAGTGATGTTGGTGAAACTGAACAAATCCTCAGAAACACTGAACGAAATCCTTACGACCTACTGCAGGGTTAGCAGGTTAGCGCGCTAACTAGGTAGGTTATGCTAACAAGTAAACATGTTAATAGACTAGAATATTAGCGAGTTACGTTTACTTGTTAGCATAGCCTATCTAGTTAGCAAGCTAACTGGCTAATATTCTAGTCTATTAACATGTCAGCAGGTAGCTGTATGTCAGTGTGTGATGAGGGGCGTGGCCTGTGGCGGCGCTGTTGTTACCTGTCGACTGTGCGGGAGCAGATGAGGCTGTACAGGAAGAGGATGACTCCATGACTTCCTTCCTCTTTAAACTGAAACACAGAATCATCATCATCACTGTGATCAGGTGGTTATTGGTTATTGGTTATTGATGAATTAGCTGGTTGTCGTTGATTCAGGCTGAGGTAAGATGGATAAAGCTGAGGGGGCGGAGCCTCTGAGGGGTCAGACCTTCCACAGGTGAGGACACAGACATTAAAGACAAACATCAGCTGTTAAAATAATCAGACAGATGGTCATTCTATACCAGGCCACGCCCCTCTGTGGAAACACTCACTTCCTATTGGTTGACTGCAGACACATTGCAGGGACATGTTTTACAAACAGCCGTTCTGCTTGTTTGTAACAGGTGGCGCCCCCTGCTGACTGATTTGGTTCATCCTGGCAGTTTTGGGATGATCAGACCAACACTTCCTGATTCACGCCACGCCGGTGCTTCCTGTGAGTCTCTGAGACAGTGACATGTTAATGACTGATGATGAGGTGTCATCTATAAGAACAGGAGCTGATCAGATCCCGTCTGAAAACACACCTTTACCAGCTGCCATTTTGGATCTGATTTGATGGAGACACACGTGGTGACCGCTTTGATGATGACGTCATACCTAACATTTATCATGATGATTTTTGTCTTGTTATTTTATTAACTTTTATTGTTTATTACTCCACTGTTTGATTTCATGATCTATAGATACATTACTGTCTCTGAAAGGTGCTGATTAATAAAATGCATTATTATTGTTATTATTATTATCATTATCAGCTGTGTTGCTGCACACAGGTGAAGGGGGCGTGGCCTGTGGGAACAAAGGAGCAGGGAGTTGTTTTGGGATGGTGAAGGAGAAAGAGGAGGAAAAAGAGGGAGAGAAGAGGAAGACTGGTGGAGGAAGCAGTGTCACCAGGTGGGTGGAGGTGAGGTGAGGTGTAGCAACTCACACACTGCAGATGATCCAGGATGAACATCTTCATGTCGTCCTTCTTGTTGAACGTGAACAGCTGCAGCTAGAACAATCACACGTAAAGTTTGAGGACGCCGGTTTGAGGACTACTGATGATGTAATGATGACATCACTGTGAGGATGGTCAGGTACCTTCTCTGTGAAGTTGTCCTGTTTGTAGTCCAGGTGAGGTGTGATGCAGTAGTCTTCGTTTACCAAGGTAACGGTGGCGCTGACCTCCTGGCCGGCCAACCAGAGGCTGTCGGACAACGCCGCCGCCAGTGCCCTGTCCTGGTCCTTCTGTCCTACACACAGACTGGAGACAGACAGTGGGCACAATAACAGACACCTCACAGAGGAGTGACATCACACACAGTCAGGTTATCTGGAACCAGTTAACACGACGTTGTAACCTGGACATTTAAACGTGGATGTTTCAGAGAAGCATTGACCTGCAGAGCCGCAGTGTCACAGCCACGCCTCCGTCAGGTCTAGGGACAGTTTCATGTCGTACAGGCGAAGATTATGGTAAAAATAATGTTAGCTTTGTGTTTGTATTCATCGGTTTAATGTACTAGCTTGCTAGCTACAAAGCTAGCATAGCTCATTAGTACTGGCGAGCTACAGTAGCTAACACTTTTTATCAAGTCTGTGATCATGGATCAATACAGACCATAATAACATGAGGACCTCCACAAGGAAACGTGTTCTGTGTTTAGATGATCAAACAGACGATGGATCATAGATGTTTGTTTCTGGGTGCCAGTGTTAGCTAGCTAGCTAATATGTTAGCTAGAGTAGCTAGTGTGTCAGCTAAGTTAGCTGAAAAGTTTTTTATTTCCACTTCAAAATGTTGATGAAAACGGTGCTGTCTGTTGATAGGGTGTCAGGGTCAATGCTAACGCTAGAATGGACGATCCTGAGCAACACGTCCGTTTGTCCAGAGGACAGGAACATAAAACCCTTGGGGACAAATATGACAAGCGTCCTGCTGACCCAGGCCGTGAGCTGCTCCTCCGTTAAAGGAACCAGACGGAGAACCGGGCGTCAGTGGGCGGGGTCTGTCAGCTTTCCTCCAGTGTCCACACAGCCCTGGATGTGGAGACGTGGACTCTGTCCTTTTTTTCCACAGGGGTTTTGTGTTCCCGTCCTCTGGACAGACAGACTCGTCCCTCCGGAAATAGAGGACTTTCCAGCTAACGTAGCTAGCATGCGAGCTAACATCGTCAGCCAGTCAGTTTGATAATCTGAACAAAGAACACGCCATCTTGCGTTGGTTCTTTCTAAACTGAGCCGCCTTTAAAGTTACTTAACTCTGTGATGATCAGGAAGTTGATGCACAGATGCTAGTGCTAACTAATGTTGACTCCTCCCACTGCTGTGTAGTGATTGGCCACATTAAAACCTGATTGACAGTTGCCCTGCCCCCTTGAGTTGGTGCGTGTAGTGGCGAGCAGTGGCAGTGTCAGCAGCACCCCCACCTGCGGCGGCCAGGCTCCCCCTGACCCTCACAGTAGATGAGGTGCGAGCAGAGCTCAGGAGGCTATGCCCACGCAAAGCAGTGGGGCCAGATCGTGTGTGCCCCAGACTTCTTAAGGACTGTGCAGGGCAGCTAGCTGAGCCCCTCCAGCACTCAACAGGAGCCTCCAGCAAGGGAGGGTCCCGGGTCTGTGGAAGACTTCCTGTCTGGTGCTGGTCCCCAAAGCGGGGCGTCCAGCCAGGATGAATGACTACAGGCCGGCGGCTCTTACTTCACACATAATGAAGACACTGGAGAGGCTGATCCTCCGACATCTGAGACCTCAAGTGGAACACGCCCAAGACCCCCTCCAGTTTGCCTACCCGGAGCACATTGGAGTGGAGGACGCAGCTCTCTACATGCTGCACAGGGCTCATTCTCACTTGGATGGATCTAGTGGCTATGTGAGACTGGTTTTCTTCGACTTCTCCAGTGCATTTAATGCCATCCGACCCCACATTCTGCAGGACAAACTTGAGGGGATGGGGGTAGACTCCTACCTCACCTCCTGGGTCTCAGACTACCTGACGGGCCGACCACAGTTCGTCAGGCTGGAGAACTGTGTCTGAGACAGTCTTGAGCAGCCCTGGGGCTCCGCAGGGGACAGTACTGGTGCCATTCCTATTCACCCTGCACATGAGTGATGGGGAAGGCAAATACAGGGAGCTGGTGAGGACCTTCACTCACTGGAGTGGCATGAACCACCTTGTGCTGAACATCTCCAAGACCAAGGAGATGGTCATAGAGCTCCATAGGTCAAAGCCCACTCCGCTCCTGCCAGTCAGCATTGAGGGAGTGGACATTGAGGTGGTTGAGTCATACAGGTACATGGGCGTCCACCATGACAACAGGCTGGACTGGTCGACCAACTCTGATGCCCTCTTCAAGAAAGGTCAGAGTCGGCTCCAATTCCTTCGCAGGCTGCGGTCCCTTAACGTGTGCGTGATATGCTGTACATGTTTTACAAGTCAGTGGTGGAGAGTGCTCTGCTGTATGCTGTAGTCTGCTGGGGAGGAAGCCTGACGGACAGGAACAGGAAACGGCTGGATAAGCTCATCTGGAAAGCTGGCTCAGTGCTGGGCAGGAGCCTGGACTCGGTGGAAACTATAACCGAGAGATGCCTGAGGAGCAAAGTGCAGGGCATACTTGACTGTGTTAACCATCCCCTGCACTGCATCTTGGCTGGAGCAAGAAAAGCAGCAGCTGCCATCGTCTCCTGTCGCTGCGGTGCAGGACTGAGAGGTTCAGGACGTCGTTCATCCCGACAGCCATCAGACTCTTTAATGCCTCAGTTGGGGGAGGGAGCACATAGCTCATTTCCTGCACACCCTCCTGCATGTTTGCACTTTCTACTTTTTAAAAAAATGTATTTATTTGTTTTGTGTACACTGTTTACATGTAGATTGTTTTTATTCTTATTTTACTTTTATTTTGTTTATATCTATATTTATATTTCTCATTTATACCCTGTTTTTTTACTTTACCTACCTGTACTTGTACTTTTTATGTGTATTAGCCACTGGACACAACAATTTCCCTACCGAAATTAATAAAGTATCTATCTATCTATCTATGTATCTGTCCATCTATCCATCTATCTATCTATCTATCTGAAAGCTGGAACTAGAAACCCTGCAGTCTGATTGGTCAGTAGATGACGCTCACTCTGGTTTTATGTAACCTCTGTTCATACATCAGTAAACTACAACTATAAAATGAAAGAGAAAAAAATAACTTCATTCACTGGGCCGACTGCCGGCAACTTTTAAGGTGGAACGTTAACTTGTAATGTTACTCAATGCATGAGTTGATGACGTGAATCCATCAGCACACCTTAAATTTCACTGTGACAACTTTGACCATCACTTTAGTTTTTATATGACACACACTTTTAGTAATGACTTTAAAAATATAGATTAATTTGGAGCGGATTATGTGAAGGTCATATATTCTAATCCTCACTTCCTGTGGGCTACAGCAACACTAAACCCCTGAGCTTGCCTGAGAAGGACTAAATGCACAAAGCTGCTATTTTTAAATATCCCATGGAGAGAGACTCTCACTGCAGCCTGTTCTATTTTGTTGTGAAAATGTGGGCGTGCAGCCTCGTTCTGTGGACGATAAACCAGGTGCAGACTTCCATCTGTGTCACCGCTGATGAGGAAATACAGCGAGTGCTGGACGGAGCAGTGAGTGACAACAACCCCGCCCACATTTAAGAGGACTGTCTGAACACACCGAGGGTCTAGGTACCATGTCTGAAGGCTTACTGCTGATTCCAAAGGTGCTGGACTGAAAGGGTTTGGTGGAGACGGGGCTTTGGAGACGAATGTTTGGAATGAATTTCTGCAGACAGATGGTGTAGCTCATGTTTCAGAGAGACAAAGTTTAGTTTGAGCTTCATGTGCTGCTTCAGGAACTGAAACTGAAGGTGGGCTCACCTGAGATGTTGCTGCAGTAACAGTTTGGGACATATTGTATTACGGTCAGAGACGTCCCCCTTGTGTCCAGGTCTTTATTTAGTGTGTCTGACACAGGACCGAGCCGTTCTGACCCTGAATGATCGTCTGATGTTGGATCAGTGTCTCGTGTTGATTAAATTGGAGATGATGTCGTATCATGTTACAGGTGTTTTACATCATCTTCTGGTTACCTGTCGGACGTATTGTCTTCACTCTGGACGTGTCCAACAGGATCACGTGATGAAGAATCAGTCTGACCTCGCCTGTGCAGCGTCTGTCTGTCTGAGCCGCTCTGCCGGATGAACAGCAGGTGTTTGATGATTCGAGCCTGGACAACCATCTGTATGGCCCGAGCCCCGCCCTGAAAAACATGCACCTGTGCAGATGAGACTGAGAACAGACAGGTAACATGTTGAGGTATCATCTGTACCTGTATCAGCAGGTGTGTCTCACCCTGTCTGTCTCCAGAGCGTAGGACAGCTCAGAGTTCGGCTCTCTGAACTGGAAGACAGATTTCCTCCACTCGTAGTTGAAGACGTGAAACGTTCCCCCAAACAGGATCCTTCTCAGACTCTGATCACCCAAACAGACACAGATATATAGATCAATACTGATCAATCAGCCCTGATAGACCCCGATCAATCAGTCCTGATAGGTGGGCCTCAGGTGGATCACAGTGTTCGTCCCAGCAGAACATTTGTAAACTTGTACCTGAAACTGATACTGTCCCCGCCCACTGTGTTCTGATGATGATGTCATCAGAACGGACAGACAGACAGACACACAGACACACAGACCTCTGTCAGCTGCGGGGTGACCGGCGACCCTCCGAGGCCCGGGGAGATGACCAGTCTCCTGGGGATGGAGCAGAGTTGTGGGAGGGGCCTGCAGGGAGGAGGAGCCTCCTCCTGGTCCTCCTCCTTCCCCACATCCAGCAGCCTCTGAGGAGAGGAAGAGACACCTGAGCACACCTGTGTAACACCCAGCGCCCCCTACAGGCCGCACTGTTCATGGCAGACTCAAGTAGAAACAAATTCAATTCAATTCAATTCAATTTTATTTATAAAGCCCAATATCACAAATCACAATTTGCCTCACAGGGCTTTACAGCATACGACATCCCTCTGTCCTTATGACCCTCACAGCTGATCAGGAAAAACTCCTCAAAAAACCCTTTAACGGGGAAAAAAACAGTAGAAACCTCAGGAAGAGCAACTGAGGAGGGATCCCTCTTCCAGGACGGACAGACGTGCAATAGATGTCGTACAGAACAGATCAACATGATAAATTAACAGTAATCCATATGACACAATGAGACAGAGAGAGAGATGCAGGTAATGACAGTAGGTTACAACAACATTAATGAAAGTAATAATATTATAGTTATAGTTCTGGCTACTGTGGTACAATATGTTGAAAGTATGTATTAATATCTGGCAGTATACATGTGTGACAATAGTCATATGTGTATAATAACAGTAGAAGTATGACTAATGACTAATGATGGCAGCAGCAGCAGGAGGCATCTGGCAGGACCACGGCAGCAGCACAACCACACACGTCACGCTGTCCAGGCACCGCTGCGATATGAGTTAATCTGAGAGACAGTGGAGCACAAAGGCTCCGGAGAAGAAGCCGAGTTAGTGACATCCAGAATGGCCGAGTTAGCAAGATGCAGTAATAGGATGAGAGTGAGAGAGAGAGAGAGAGAGAGAGAGAGAGAGAGAGAGAGGGAGAGAGAGGGAGCCCGGTGTATTATAGGGGGTCCTCCGGCAGACTAGGCCTAAGTCAGCCTAACTAGGGGCTGGTACAGGGCAAGCCTGAGCCAGCCCTAACTATAAGCTTTATCAAAGAGGAAAGTCTTAAGTCTAGTCTTAAATGTGGAGACGGTGTCTGCCTCCCGGACCGTAACAGGAAGATGATTCCACAGGAGAGGAGCCTGATAGCTGAAGGCTCTGGCTCCTGATCTACTTTTGGAGACTTTAGGGACCACGAGTAACCCTGCGTTCTCAGAGCGCAGTGTTCTGGTGGGATAATATGGCACTATGAGCTCTCTAAGATATGACGGAGCTTGACCATTTAGAGCTTTATAAGTTAACAGTAGGATTTTAAATTCAATTCTGGATTTTACAGGGAGCCAGTGCAGAGAAGCTAAAACAGGAGAAATATGATCTCGTTTCTTAGTTCCTGTTAGTACACGTGCTGCTGCATTCTGAATTAGCTGGAGAGTTTTTAAGGACTTACTAGAGCTACCTGATAATAGAGAGTTACAGTAATCCAGCCTTGAGGTAACAAAAGCGTGGACCAATTTTTCTGCATCTTTTCGGGTCAGGATAGGCCTAATTTTCGCAATATTACGCAGATGAAAAAATGCAGTCCGTGAGGTTTGCTTTAAATGAGAATTAAAAGACAAATCTTGATCAAATATTACTCCGAGGTTTCTTACGGTAGTGCTAGAGGCCAGAGCAATGCCATCTAGAGAAACTATGTCATCAGATAAAGAGTCTCTGAGTTGTTTGGGGCCAAGAACAATAACTTCAGTTTTGTCTGAATTTAACATCAGGAAATTGGTGCTCATCCAATTTTTTATGTCTTTAAGGCAGTTATGGAGTTTAGTTAATTGATTACTTTCTTCTGGCTTCATCGATAAATACAACTGTGTATCATCCGCATAACAATGGAAATTTATAGAGTGATTTCTAATGATGTTACCTAAAGGAAGCATATATAGAGTAAATAGGATTGGTCCGAGCACAGAACCTTGCGGAACTCCAAAACAAACTTTGGTACGTAAGGATGATTCATTACGAACGTCAACAAATTGAAAACGATCAGATAAATAAGATTTAAACCAGCTTAGTGCTGAACCTTTTAGGCCAATTAAGTGATCCAGTCTCTGCAGTAGAATTTGATGGTCAATTGTGTCAAACGCCGCACTAAGATCTAATAAAACAAGAACAGAGACGAGTCCTTTGTCTGAAGCAATCAGAAGGTCATTTGTAATTTTAACTAGAGCTGTCTCAGTGCTATGATGCACTCTAAATCCTGACTGAAATTCCTCAAATAAATTATTATCCTGGAGAAAATCACACAGCTGGTCTGCGACTACTTTCTCAAGGATCTTTGACATAAAGGGAAGATTAGATATTGGTCTATAGTTGGCTAACACCTCTGGATCCAGGGTGGGCTTTTTTAGGAGAGGTTTAATTACAGCTACCTTAAAAGACTGTGGTACATAGCCTGTTAATAGGGATATATTGATCATATCTAATATATGAGTGTTAACTAAAGGAAAGACCTCCTTAAGTAGCCTAGTTGGGATGGGGTCTAAGAGACACGTTGATGATTTAGATGAAGAAATCACTGCGGTCAATTCTTGAAGAGAAATTGGGGAGAAGCAATCTAAATATATATTAGATTCTACAGCTGTGTTTGAGGTTAGATAGGTAGGCCTACCATCTGAGGGCAGGAGGTCATGAATTTTGCCTCTAATAGTTAGAATTTTGTCATTAAAAAAGCTCATAAAATCATTACTGCTAAGGGCTAAAGGAATACAAGGCTCAATAGAGCTTTGACTCTCAGTCAGCCTGGCTACAGTGCTGAAAAGAAACCTGGGGTTGTTCTTGTTTTCTTCTATTAATGCTGAGTAATAGTTTGCTCTGGCATTGCGGAGGCCCCTCTTATAAGTTTTGAGACTGTCTGTCCAGATTAAACGAGATTCTTCCAGTTTGGTTAATCGCCAATTCCTTTCAAATTTTCGCGATATTTCTTTTAACTTACGGGTTTGAGAGTTATACCAAGGAGCAAACTTTCTTTGCTTTGTTAACTTCTTTTTAAGAGGAGCTACAGAGTCGAGCGTTGTTCGCAGCGAGCCTACGGCGCTATCAACAAAATGATCAATTTGGGAGTGGTTAAAGTCGGCACGGGAAACCTCTGTTACTGAAGGTATTGGTATTGAATTTAAAATCTGAGGACATGATTCGAGAACAGGTCGATTCAGGTCAGCATCAGTCCTGATCCATAATCAATCAGCCATCAAAGTGACAGTGTTGTTATGATGACTGGTGTCACTGTTTACTGTCATCAGTCACAGTACAGTGCACAGGAAACACTTACGTCAGGATTCTTGTCAACTTCCTGTTGAAGTAGTTGGATGTAGTCCAGCCTGCAGTCTGTCATCACCTACATCTACTTCCTGCTCCTCCTGAGACCACCGACAGTCCTACTGCTCCTCCTGAGACCACCGACAGTCCTACTGCTCCTCCTGACGCCACCGACAGGCCTCCTGCTCCTCCTGAGACCACCGACAGTCCTACTGCTCCTCCTGACACTGATGGAACCAGCCTGATGTAGGACCGACTCTACCACCAGTAACAGTTAGCTCTATTATACTGGAGTAACAGCAGTACTGACTGGCCATGGTCCTGTATCCACAGTGTCCCTCCATGAGACTGAGACAGCAGGTACATACACACCAGTATCACCAGTGAAACTGAATACTGTGTGTGTGTGTGTGTGTGTGTGTGTGTGTGTGTGTTTGTGTGTGTGTGTGTTACAGGATCAGCTTCTGTTCAACAAACACACACAACAGTTGTCTGAAAACTGACCTCAGTGCAGCTCACCAGTCTGACCAGCAGAGGGCAGTATGACTGTACCAGTTTGTCCAGCAGGGGGCAGTATAATACATATTTAAAAATACATGTATAAATGTAAAGATGGATACATTTACATATACAGTTTATGTTTAGATATTTAAGTATGTGTATTAATGTATAGATATATAGGTGAGTAGAATCAATCAATCAATCAATTTTATTTATAAAGCCCAATATCACAAATCACAATTTGCCTCACAGGGCTTTACAGCATACGACATCCTTCTGTCCTTATGACCCTCACAGCTGATCAGGAAAAACTCCCCAAAAAAAACCCTTTAATGGGGAAAACTGATGAAAAACTGTGATGATGGATCATTATATATGTATATTTATTTATATTTATGCATGAATGGAGAAAATGATTTATTGATGTATTTCTAAAAGATGTCTGAATAGAAACAGATGTTTTTATAATTTATCTATAGATATTAAGCTATATGTATTCATAAAAGTATTGATAAATATGGAGATATTTAACCATGTATAATTTGTCAAGATATGTAGACTGATATATAAATTATTGATGTAATTATAAACACATTTACATATATGTATGAACGTGAGGAGAGATGTACAGATATTTTGATATTTAGATAAATATATAAATGTATGTACAGATGTATGTGTATAGATATATTCATATGTACAAAGTATAGATAGATGTATACATATTTAATTAATTCCTATTTTATAGATGTATAGATATTTAGATGTATAAGTGTATGGATAAAAAGATAGAGGTTTTCAAATATATTTCACAGATATACAGACATTTTGTATTGATAATTATATGTATAATATTTACAAACATAGTATTTAGATAAATACATAAGTTATAATGAGACGTATAGATATCTGATATATTTATGAATTATAGATACATGTATAATTAGTTTTAGATGTGTGTGAAAGTATGTACAGATGTGTTCATATTTCCATGTGTTTCAAATATAGATAGCTGTGTACGTATTTCCATATGTTTCAAATACAGATAGCTGTGTACGTATTTCCATATGTTTCAAATATAGATAGCTGTGTACATATTTATATGTTTCAAATAGAGATAGCTGTGTACATATTTCCATATGTTTCAAATACAGATAGCTGTGTACATATTT